TGCAGTTTCTTGGGCTCCTGTGGCAACCCCCTGTAAGCAATTTCCCAAGACATGGTGTCTTCCTGACCTCCAAAGATTTGCAGTATTGGTATTGCTTAACCTCAGATGCCCTGCTCAAGAGAGCTACAAGTCTAGGCCATGCAAGCAGGGATTCTCCAGAGAGGGAAGCCAAATATCCAGAAAAATGGGAGCCCAATCAGAAGGGCCAGATCACCCCTGCAAGTTCACACCAGCCTTATTTCTTAAAAATTGCTAACCAACCATTTTTCTTTTCAAAATAAACACTACTTCTCTCAACTTCAGTTTGCAAAATATTACCCCAATTCCACTGGACTAAAAAACTGGAATTTTACTGACATAATTGGATTATGAGGTTTAAAGATTGATGGAACATTTCTGTTCCAAATATAATTGTTCAAATACCAAACCTAAACGGGTATGTAGAAGTTCTTACGTAGCTAGAGCCAGAGTAATACTGCGGCCACCAAGGCTGGGTGACCCTGGGAGAGGGGATGGAGAAGTTACCAAACCATAGGGCTTCCAAACCCTGTTACAGAAGGATCCTGGAGTCTCAGGGGGCGTATTACCTTCCTGCAGCCAAGGCCAATCACTAAAATGGAGACAACTTTAGTCACTCCAATTCCACCCATGCTTGTTCATTTCCCAGATCTCAGTTCATGTACCAATGACCTTGGCAGTTTGTTCATATCTACATTGTACCTGCAATTCTCTGCTGTACTTTTTCTGAGTATGAATTTGTCTCCCTAAAAAAATAAGTCATTGTATTTCCAGTGGATAACTCAGTACCTGACATATGTTATATGTACAAAGACATATATATTATATACATATATAAACAAAATATGTAAATATTTTAAGAGAAAAGAAAGGAAGAAAAGGAAAAAGACATAGAAGGGTTGGTTTTCAAAGTTTACAGAATATACATTAATTTATTCAATATAACATAGATTTTTCAGCATGTACTAGAACTCAATCCTAGTTCTCTTGTAACTCCTAGGAAAATGAGTATTGGTTTTAAAAAATTTCTTTGAAGACACTGGACCCCTGAGCAAAAGAAATTATACTGTTACAAACACTGTACAAATCACCTCTCTCCTTCATTGCAATTCCGTATCTGACTATTGCTCATTACATTTGATTCCTGTTTTTCTGCTCTGACACTGAGAATGCCTAAGAGACCACAACTATTTTTGTTCATTACTGTATTCCCAGGATCCAGGGATGGTGTTCAGTAAATATTTGTTGGTTGATAAACTGAATAAATCTATCACAATACCAGCCAAAGAAAAGAAGATAATCAGATCCAAAGACTTCAACATATTTTATAGACTTTACTTTGTAGATCACATTGTTGTAAAATAATAAACTAACCATGACTGTGTAAATACATGAATTAACCCTGGTGCCCTCAGTAGGTGTGTGGGTCAGGGGCTAAGTAAGGTGTTCAGATGAAAGAGTTATATTCAACAACCAGAACAAAAGGCAATGGCATGGACTCTCTCACTGGTGACTATGCTTTCAGCCAACTGCAATTAAGGGATTTTTATACATGCCTCGTTACATGAACTTACGAGTTTTAACTAGTTTTAGGTAACTGATCTTTATAAAACAGGCAAGTCATTAAAAGTATTACTGTAAAGATCCAGAGATTGAAGATAATACTAAACTTGTAATATTAACACTACTAGTAAGTAATATCACCAGGAAAATGACAAAGCTGACATTTCTTCTGCTCCTTAGCCATATTATGATTTTAAAACAATGGCTGCCAATCATATGCTACCAAGCTACTTTAGAAAAAAAAATAAACACACTTAATTTGTCCCCTCAAGATAAAGATAACATTTTAACAGTGAGACAAAAAAGGAAGTGCATTTTGAAAACAAAACAACACACTTATATTCTGAAGACATTTTTTTAAACAGATGTGTTGAAATGTTTCTACTATGATATAGTTTGGAGCCTAAAATGATGTAAGTGTACAAACTACAAAATTGCTCATCTGTGTACACCTAAACTTCCTAGCAGAATTTTCTAATTAGTTTTTAAGATGCCACCTGAAGAGTAACTGAGGATTATGAACCCACCTTAAGAAAATTCAAATCTAAAAATTCAGCATCTTTCAATTAGTTCACACACAAGACTGACTAACATCAGGAAAGATGGAGATTAATTGGGTTTCAAAATGAACTAGACTAGAACTACAAATAGGACTGAAGATGAGTGTTACAATGTAGTAAGCTCAGCTCACATCCTCTAAAGATACATCTTTTAAAAAAAAAGTGTAATGATATCTCTCTTACTTTTATGATAACCACTAAAGCCAAGTATAAAAAAATATATATAGGCTTTAGAATCAGACCTCTGAATTTCCTTATCACAAGCTGTTAAAATGAAACTTATAAACAACAATGGTCAATTGAATTGCTTTCACCAGAAGTAAAATTATTAATATGAACAAACAGGGCTTTCTATACCCTTTGTAACTAAAATTAAAATACTTAAAAAAATTTATTTCATTCTCTTTTCATTTTTATCTTCTGCTTTTATTTATAATATTTACATTATGTTTATTATAATGTAAATAGATTAGTAAAGTAGTACATTTGCTTATAATTTTAAAATAAAGACTTATGCATTGTGGGAATGCATTAAAGCAATTACTACTTTAATTAAGTGTCAGGAAGCATCTGAAAGATTTTAAATGCAAAAGAATAAAAAAATCAGATTTGAATATTAGAAATATAATCCTGAGGATAGCAGGGAAAAAAATGTCTAAAGGTTAAAGTATTTTTTAATTCCTGTTGCTACACTAATAGCAGATAGCATCCATAAATCCCTCTACCTTTGGAGCTCTTCTCAGGGAACATAGTTATACTTGAGCAGAGGCCTTCTGCAGAGCAAGACCTCCTATTCTATGGTCCATGCCACATGGCAATGTGGGGCCAGTGGTAAGATGGAGCCATGAGAAGTTAGAGCAATACTGGGCCACATGACTATTGAAATACTTAGTATTTTTCTGCAAGCTAGGGTCAGGTTAGAAAAGACTACTGTCTGACATTTGTATTTATGATTTTAAAAAGTTACTTTAAAAATTTTAATAATATAGCAATATACAAAGTGAAAAGTAAAATATAGCTTCCCTACCTCCTTACTGACTCCATTCTCCCATGTTAACCACTTATGTTAACAGTTTGATTTATTTCCTGCCAGATAGTTTTAAGTACATATATACTTTTACGTGTATATGTATACATATACATAAAATCTGTGGGGAGATATATATATTTTTTTTCATAGTTTTTCTATATTTTCCTTTTAAAAATAGGCTTATATTCACATTGTTGTATAAGTTGCTTCTTTCACTCAGTATCTGATGACAGTCCACATGGATCTAGTCTCTTTTTGCAGAGCTGGAGGAAATGAAATCCTATGTATATACCACAGGTTATTAAACCATTCCTTCACTGATGAACATTAACAGGGTCTCTGTGTTTCACTTTTACAATAAAGCAGCAATGAACAACCTTGCTCACTTTGCATACTTCTCAGTGGGACAGACTCTTGATAGTAGGTACACTGAGGCTTTGATCAGTCTTGCAGAATGGCTACACTAAATTATACTTCAAACAATAAGGGTCAGCCATTCAGAATAAATGAATTTAATCTTTTTCTCATCAAATCTTTACATAGATTCCTAAATTCAGGAAAAGATCTTAGTGAGCCCCTCAATTTATGAAGATACAAAGGTTCAGAGAGTTTAGGTTGTACGCCCCAGGTCTCCAAGCTCTGACCAGCAGAAGCTCTGGGAAGCAAGGTTACTACTAAAATCCAGGATTGCACCTTGTGTCAACTGACTTCAAATACATCGTGTATTCTATCAGCCACACTGACAAATAGGAAAGTGGACTAATTATCTTCTTTCCCTTGCCTTCTATCAGCAAGAAAGGAAAAAAAGGAAATAAATTCAGAAAAGATGCAAAGGCAAGAGGAGGGCAGAGGAACATTCAAAAACTTGTTGAAGTAATAGGCACCCGGTGCTGAAGGTGCCCTCAGTGCAGCTATGCAGAGTGAGCAAGTGTGGTAGAAAAGACTGACACAGGATAACCTCAGCAAAAACTTCCACAGCCTCAGTGGGTTGTATGAAAAGTTTCTTGGTTCTGAATATCTCAGTGTGGCATCCAAAATGAATGCCAGTACTAAAACCAAATTCTGAAGAGAAATATCAGAAAAGAACTAACATCCCACAATGAAGAAACATCTTCAAAGAAGATCTTATTATAAAAATACCACAAAAGTACTTTCAACAAATTCCAGACCTAAAAGTAAAGCTTTAAAATGAAGCTCCAAGCACAATCCTTTGCTCTGTGCCTACAGAGGCCCAATTAGAGGAAGCACTTCTGACCCTATAATATTACCTTTACTTGACCATACCCATGGGGTACAGCAAGAAGAGAATAGGAAGGGGCACCTGTACCTTTTGAAATTAGAATGATCTAGAACAAGGGTCATCAAACTTTTTCATTAAAAGGGCAGAGGGTAAGTATTTTCAGCTTTGCACGCCACATGGTCTCTGCTGCAACTATTCTGCAGTTGTCATGCAAAATAGTCCTGAGCAATAAATAATCAAGTAACACAGCTTAGCTCCAGTGCAACTTGATGAACAATGAAATTTAAATTTCATGTAGTTTTCATGAAAATTAACTACTAATTAATACTATTGTCTTAGTTTTTCCCAACCATTTAAAAATATAAAAGCCATTCTTACCTCATGGACTATATATTAACAACGCAGTAAGTATTAGGCTGGATTTAGCTCACAGTCCGTAACTTGCCAACCTCTGGTACAGAGCACTTTATTCTCAACTGAATCTGAATATTGACAGAATGAAGAAAATATCTGAGCCCAACCCCTAGGAAAGTTAGGTGAGAAGACAAAAGGCAGGGACAGCTGTTTTCAAAGAATTTCGAGTGTTTACCTTAAGTCTCTTCTCCTGCTGAACTCCTCAGGTGGAATTGTCCAGGGCAGGCTTTGAGGGAGACATTCTAGAACGTCTGAAGAGAAATCAGAAAAATCTACACCATACTCTGTTAGGATCCCTTCTGTTTCAGGCTCAATTTCACCAGCCTGCCCAAGACTCTTAGCCAGCTGCCTATAGACAGAACAGAAAGGAACAACTGGGTTAGAAAACAAATGGAAGGCAGGCACCTGAGGTATTAGGAAAGTCTTTAAAATCCCCCACCCCTCCACCAGCAGGAATATCATCACCAGTGCATGGGGGCAGCAAGCAGAAGAAACAATGACACTCTTATCCTGCGAAGTCTATGACTACAGTGTAATTTTACCTTTCTTAAAGAATTCTGACCTCAAGAATAGGACCAAAAGACCTTTCTTAGGACTCCTGCAATTGTTCCTCATGAAGAAGTCAAAATTGCTATTCTGAAAGTTTGGCATCAACACTTTTGACTAACACTTTAGAGACACTCTGATCACTCAGCTTTCTTCTTAAGTCATTAGCTTCAGATGCTTGTAAATATCTTACCTAAATCATACTCACTGGATTAGAGCTGATACTCGTATTTGTTTTATAATTCTGCTAGTTTTTAACTTTAAAAACGAAAAATATTTGATCTGAACACAAAAGTGCATGTGCACTGTGGAGAAGGCAGAAAATCCAGAAATATAAAATCAAAAGTATATGTAATCCAGTCATGCAGCAAACTACCACTCACATTTTTAAAGACTGGTCCTTTTAAAAATAAGATTGCATTTATTAGGACTGTCCTAACATTAAGGGAAGATCTCACTCACCTGTAGGTCATCTACGCATATACTAAAATCATCTACACAATATACTAAAATTGAAAATTTGTTACTATTGTAAGTATTCTCAAACCACATACAGATTACAAGCCTAAAGTCATGTGCTGAATACAGACAATAAGTAGTGATATGATATGACATGGGGAAATGTGATTATGGGTCTTTATAGAGGGCACTGGGGAAACCAAAGATAGCCACATCCTTTGTAGTACATGCCTACTGATCTACCAGTGTGATCCATGAACCCACTATCAGCCCTTTTGCAAGCAATTTAGCTCTAGTATTATGTCCTTCTCTGGGACCATTCCATTCTGATGAAAAAGATTCAGTTTCCCTGTAAGAATGGATGTCTGGAAACCAGAGTTGTTAGGTGCATGTAGTAAATGGAATTGAGAATTTGGTTGCCTACTGGGAAGGCTTTTTAGCAAATTCTGACCTTTGACCTTGCTAGTGGGATGCAGCAGTGGTGGCAGCAGGGCTGGCCCCACATATTACATACTAGCCATGAAAGAACAGCATAGTCTGCCATGTACACTGTCCACCAGACAATGCTCTAGGGAGCCTGTGCATTGACTGTGTGTTTCTTACATACAATGTGGGTTCAGACCAGTGTCATCTCCTCAAACTCAAGCAGTGATCCCTCAGAAAGCACATCAAAAAGCCAATGACAGTAGAACTATGAGGGAAAAGAATCAGAGAAAGATATGGAGAATCCTCAAATATTTGGAAATTAAATAATGCATGGGTTAAGGAAAGAATGAAAAGAGAATTAGAAATTCTTTTGAATTGAATGAAAATACAACATATCAACATTTGTGAGAGGCAGCTAATGCAGTGCTTTACGGGAAACGTACACATTTAATGCTTATATTAAAAAAGAAGACATGTGGGGTGTGGTGGCACATGCCTGCATTTCCAGCACTTGAGGATGCCAAGATAAAGTTTTTGGGAAGAGAGTGGGGAGAGAGGGGGAAAGAAAGGGAGAAAAAAAAGACAGAGAGGGTTAGAAGGGAGGAGGAAGAAAGGAGAGAGGAGGAAGAAAGGAGGGAGAAGGAAGAAAGGAAGGAGGAGGAGAGAGGAAAAGAAGAAAAATATATCAATTACCTAAGTTTCTACCTTAAAAAAAATAGCAAAAGGCCAGATGCAGTAACCCATGCCTGTAATCCCAGCAATTCAGGAGGCAGAAATAGGGAGAATCATGGTTCATGGCCAGCCTAGGCAAAAAGTTAGTGAGATCTCACCTCAACCAATAAGTGAGGCATAGGGGTACCTGCCCGTCATCCCAGCTGTGTGGGAAGCCTAAACAAGAAGATCATAGTACAGGGTGGCCTGGGTAAAAATGTAAGACTTATTCAAAAATAACTGAAGCAAAAAGGGCAGGGGACTTGGCTCAAGTGTAGATGCTTGCCTAGAAGTGCAATGCTCTGAGTTCAAACTCCAGGACTGTTTTAAAAATAAAAATAAAAAAGGAAAGAGGAGAAAATTAGATTCCAGGTAAGTAACAGGAAGAGAAAACGTAGACACATGACCAATGGGTAGAAAATATACAACGAAAAAAGAGCCTAGCAAGCACACGGCCCTAAGTTCAAAACCAAGCACTGCCAAAAAAAGAAAATCAAAGCATTAAAGGAGTTAAATAGAAGCCTAGCATGTATTTACTGGAGCATGATTCATGTGGTAGAACACCTGCCTATAAAGCTTAAGGCCCTGAGTTCAAATCCTAGAAAAAAAGAAAAAAGACTTGTAAGACTAGAGGCATGGTTGCATAGCTCAAGCAGCAGAGCATCTGCCTTGCAAAAGTAAAGCTCTGAGTTCAAATCCTAGTACTGTCAAAAAAGAGAATAAAATAGATAAATTTCCAGTCATACTGGTCAAAATAAACCAAGGAGACAAAGAACACAAATTATGAGTATCAGGAACGAGAATGCAGACATCATTCCACATCCTACAAGCATCAAAAGGATAATGAGTTATGAGTGACTTCAAGCCAAAAAAAAAAAAAAACCCTCAACATATTGGATGAAATGGACAAATGTCTTGAAAGACACAAACTGCCTACGGTTATTTAATAATAAATATCTGAATATTTCTATAACTATTAAAGAAACTGAATTCATAGTCTAAAATCTTCCTGCAAAGACAACTCTATGTCCAGGTGGTATCACTGATGAATTCTACCAAATACTTAAGAAAACAGAATTCAGGGCTCAAGTGTTAGAGTGCACAAGGCCCTGAGTTCAAACCTCAGTACAAAAAAAAAAAAAAAAGGAAAAGAAAACAGAATTCAGCCCTGTATTATATAAAAAGAATAAACACATCAAAACCAAATAATGTAAGATTTATCCAACATTTAAAAATCAGCCAATTTAATTCACTATGTCAACAACCAAAACAAATTCACACAATCATCTCAGTAGAAGAAAAATAATCTGACAAAATGTTAGCATTCATTAATGACAAAAGGTCTCAGCAAATGATTAAAAGACAGAAAGTTCCTCAACTTGAATAAAGACTTCTGTGAAAATCCTAGAATTAATACCAAACTTAATGGTGAAAGGCTAGAGAGGAAAGCAACTATGATTCCCTTGGAAGAAATGACCAACCTCCTACTATTTAATGCCTGACCTCCCTTTAAGGAAAGACCCTCTAACTCTATGAAAACCAGAAGCCAATACACTGTGCCCTGAAACTCTGCTTCCACACAAAAATCTGAATGTGAAGACAGTGACACAAAGACAAGAGGGATGCTCAGGATACATTCATGGCAGTGAGAGTGGGTCTAGTGACGGCAGTAGTAGCAGCAGTGCCTAGGGAGATGATGTCTTGCAAGAACAGGGGCAGGCTCCACTGGCATTGTAGGAAAACAATTATGATAAAAGATGAAGGCTGGGATTCTGCTTGGCTCTCAGAGGTGGTCTTAGTTCACTCCCCTTTCCCAGGGTTTTTAAGCCTCTATTTCTGTGAGCCCTTCACTGTCTTCCAATAAATGCCTTTCCCAACCACAATTGGTTCCTCTTGCTTGCAACCACGAACCCAGAGAGTTAAAGACTAGGGTCCCATTAATTCTGAAAATGCTAACTAATTTTTTAAATGACTACATTATTACCTCTGTTCATTCGAATGAAGATTTATTAGTACTACCTTTGATTTTAAAGGACAAGGGATTCAACACTGTGGGTACAGAATGGCTACTTAGAACCATGTTGTTTCGCTCCAATAAAAAAAACTTTGTCCTAGTGTTGACAGGTGACAATGAGTCACTTAAAAATTAATTAATATTTTTAAAATTAGTGAGGCCTCAGTTACTACTCCCTAGCCATCTAGCCTATTTATTATCCTCACAGATTTCTGAGGTTCTGTTTTCTATATTCATCTCCTAACATCAATGTCTTTTGCTGTCTGGGTTCTTTGTTTCAAGCACAAGAACCCACTTCTGGATGGAAAAGATTCACTGGATGGATATTGAAGGGCTCCCAGAAACAGTGAGAGGCTTGGAGAATCACAAAAGATGGAAACAAAGAATTACATGCTCAATCTCTATATTCTTGATTTCAGTATAAGAATGAAACTCAGGGACTTTCATCACAAAAGTATCCTGAGGATTTAGGGATATAGATCAGTGGCAGGGCACTACCACTGAGGAAGGAAAAGGGAGGGGAGGGGAGGGAAGGAAGAGGGAGGAGGGAGGGAAGAAGTAAAGGGGAGGGAAGGAGGAAGAGGAATGGAAGGGGGGAAGAAGGGGAGGGAGGAAGGAGAAAAAGGAGGAAGAGAGGGGGAGGGAAGAAGGGAGAAAGAAGGGAAAGGGGGGGCAGGGGTGGAGGGAGGGAGGATGGAAGGGTGAGACAGGACTAGGCAGGGAGGGAGGGAGTTTCCTAATTTTGATATTGCAATAATAAATAGTTGAAGAAAGATTTTCTAATTAGAGAAATTTATAATAATCATAGCCTCAAATTTTTCTGATTCATCAGAGCTCCTCCATGACTACTGTTCCCACTCACAATAAATGACATTACAACCAAGTCGAATGGTGAAGTTAATCCAGATAGTGCTGAAACACATTCCCCATGTCTTATAATTGATAAGTGGGGGTACACTGGGAGTGTTTGTACGAATATCCTACATAAAAAATATTAGATTGACTCTCCTGGGTAGCATGGAAGTAAAAAGTTTACTGAGGGTGGAAACCAACTATAGATAGAGGAATCAGTCATGCACTGTTGCAGTGATTACAACTATCCTTACAGCTCTCAAACAAATGTTCCCAGGCATACTGGTCTATGTTGTAAACTCAATACACACAAATAAAATGGTATCATGTACCTGAGAATC